TTGACTATTTTTGGGACCTTAATTTCCCACAGTTACTGCTTTGTGCCATTGCTGGCAAGGAGAAGCAGCTTACTGTGGGTATAATGGAGGTATCCCATGGTTGATTGGTCTAGGAGGAAAACAACACTGTATGAAACCATGTGTAAAACAGAATATATCACATTAATATAGTTACCAATATCATCAGAAAATAGTTTACAAAACATGCAATATAATGCTTTCAGTTTCTGTTTATTTAGCCTTTTTTAATGTAAACCAAAAGCACTCCCCCTGCCCTGTCCCATGGGAATCAAACAGAACAGAGAAGGACTAACACTAACTTATGTATTTGAACACATTGCCTAGAGCAATGGAATACTAACTAGACTTACCTCTCGTCAAAACTGCAACATTAAATATGTTTGTGCAAGTATCGTATACATACTGGTATATGCTATGTCATTTAAGAACCCCCTTAGATTATAACTACTGGTTTGCATCAGTACAATTACCAATATAGCTACTTTAGCTATAAAGGTTATGGAGAATAATTTAATGACAATTCCAGGGAAACAAAAGACTTCCTAGATTTCCATTTTTGGAATAGTATTGATAACTTCTAAACTTCTTCAGACAAATAGCTACTTCTTGTTAGTCTGCCACATTCTTTCTAAAAGTCTAGTTCCTTAAATCAGTTTCTTATAGAAAGGCAGGGGGATAGTTGAAGTTAATCATATTTACTTCCTCCTTCAAAGGGTCCCTTATAACTAAACAGGATTTTCTAATAAGACTGACGTACTGCTTTCCTGGATAGTTACTGTTGCTTGTTTAATTACATTTTTAAAAAAAACCAAACAAACAACAACAACAAAAAAACATAGTACAAAATAGTATAGACAAATTTAAGACACTGATTCAGTATTATTCAGTTTTACTAAGGAATCACAAAAATGTACATTAAGAGTAATAGATATTCTGCAGTACCCATTGTCTATATTTCCAATGTAACACTGGGTGGTAGATGGACCTATAAAGCAGAGTTTACTCTCTGCCATTTCAATTCCTCTCAATTGCAGGTTTGTATTCAAAAGGCACTGAGAAGGGAAAATGCTGCTGTGTACATGTTGATTACAAATAAAGAGGTGCACCCAGTAAGAAATGTTTCTTTTTTCTTCAATTGGATTTGCATATGTTTAAGAGACTCTAAGTAGTTACTCTACCATCAATTACTGCCTAGAGGTTCAGAGTCAAGAAAACAATGGCTAAAAATGGTATACTGAAGGTTTTATCAGTCCTTGAAGCTTCGAGAGTGAGTCCAGGTCTGGTAGAACACAGATAGTTTTCCAAGTGGCTGCCTAGCAATTGTGCAAAAGGGAAAGCTCATACAACACAGCTCCCATGGTTAGTTACAATCTTAATTATGCCTATCAGTTCTGTGCCCACAAACAACTGGATAATGACTGGATAAAAATTGTAGAGTCATTGAATGTACCTGTCAGACAGTGGTATGGTCTGCTTAAAGTGGTTAGATTTGCCAAAATAAGTAAAAATTAGAGCAATCAAAGACCCACTTTCATGAGATCCATAAGGTGCCCCATAAGAATGAGACTGGAATGCTGGAGGAACAAGATATGGATCAGCAAGCACAATACACTGAAAGTCTGGGAGATAATATAGTGTATCAATCTTAGCAAACACTTTCTGTTCACACATTGCAATTGCTTGCATCAGGGAACAAAAGGAAGAACCAAACATGAAGAAGTGTCCGATACAAATACTATAGGATGGAAAGGTCTGACTCTAACCCAAGTCTTGATTAGACAAGTCTTGGAGGAGAGGCAGAACCGATAGAATCCAAATGGCTAGTCTCAAAAATGGTGAATGCAAAATTTCTTGTGCTATACTAAGATCTTCAGTGTCTCACCTTCATTTTGGTCACAACCAGTCAAAGAGAGGAGAGCGGAAGAAGCAAGTACAACAAAGCTCTTCTGACCAACAAAAAAAAAAAAAAAAAAAAGAAAAGGAATGCAGCTGAGAAGGATTCCAGACCTCAACCTACTCTCAAATAGAATTTGTAATAACTCTTTTTGCTCACGTCAACAATCAGGATGTCAAATATGTCCTATTTAGGCCATCCAACCCCCTGATGCTCCTATAATTGTCTGCAAGAGAGATGGAGTAGGCAAGCAAAGAAATCACCAAAACAACCTATATTATTGACTATGGCATACATCTGTACTTTTGTTGCTTCCCAGCAATGCAGGAGGAATCTGCTCTCCCCCTTGTTTATTTGTATGTTGTGTCCATGTGTTGTCTAAAGCTTGCTTCACATACAGGCCTTGAAAGAGCACAAGAGATCATGCAATGCTTCAAAAAGTTAGCAGAAAAATGCTGCTCCCTCCAAAAAACAAAGGCCAATGCTAAAGGGAGGTGGTGGAGTCACCATCCATGGAGGTGTTTAAGAAAAGACTGGACGTGGCACTTAGTGCCATGGTCTAGTTGACATGGTGGTGTTAAGGGCAAATGTTGGACTCGATGATCTTAGAAGTCTCTTCCAACCTAATCGAATCTGTGACTCTGTGATTCTGTAAATAAACTTCACCCACACTGAGCTCCCTATCTGGTGAATAGCATGTTCTTTGTGATGACATACGGGAGGAACTTGAGGGCACCAGTGATAACGCAAGGAGAACTGTCCAGGCTCACTGAGATGATGAGTATTTGTTCCATTGGAATGTGCACGTGGCCTCATTTGAAGAGGAGCTAGTAGTGCACTTCCAGTGTGAATTTCCAGTAATATCCCCATTTGCAAAAAAAAATTGTATTTTAAAACTTTAGCTTCTAATTGAGAATAGCAAAGAAAATAATGCTTTTGTTTCTGATGTATTTTACAATTTAATTTAGAGGTACTGTAAATGTGACAATGTATCTAAACAGTTTCACTGAGATCATCCTTAAACTTTACCTTTTAAAGAAACATATCAGCAAGTAACTTGAAACTGCATAATACTTAGTCAGCCAAATCTTTGCTGGCATTTTGGAATTATCCTTTTCTTTTTATATCTAGATGAAGCTTGCAACAACAACAAAAAAAAAAAATGCAAGTTTTTTTAATCCCTAATGTAAGCAAATTAGCTGAATTTGCTTGCAAACTGTTTCATAAGGTTAAACATGATCAGTATTTGAACAGAGAAGTTCCCAGAGAACTTCAATTACTACAGCAAATGATGGATAGGAGAATTAATAGGAGATATTTTCTTGCTGTCTGTTGTTCTGCTAAGGGATATTGGTCAGCAATGCGATAATAGGTGTATAATCCCTGTAAACTGTAAAAGATTGAAAGTATAAAAAATTCTACATACTCCTTTTAAACTATGAGTGTGAACACTCAGAAGTGGAGTTGATTTTCATCAGCTTAACACCAACCGACTGCATTCACAGTCTCCAGTTGTAAAGTAACATAGACTAGTGTTTTCTTGACTTAATTTTGCAAAAATCTCTGAAGATCTCAGTAAATAATTAAAAAGGTTCATTCTTTAAAAACAAATTATAGTCTATGCTTGTATTATCTGTTTTGTTCATCTAGTAAGTTATTGGAGGTTTATGTGAGAAAACAAATTTAGAGAAAGTCAAAACTCCAGTTGAGAAAGCAAGCAAGTTGCTGTATTAAAAGAAATCCAGTCTTTGCCTCATGAAGAAATTTGTTGCTGTATTCTGGATGGACAAGAGAGAAGTTGGGACTTAATCATGCATTTGTTAAGGCAAACAGGAGTACATTGGAATTGCTGATGTTAAAGATGATCAGTTCTGACAAAAGCTGTGATATGAAGAGAAATGACTGTATTTGGAAGAACTGGAAGAGGAAAAATAAACAGGGTTTAGTAAGTATGTCACAGGGAAGGAGTAGTGTCAAAAAATACATGTAATTCCATGTTTGAAAAAACACTGCAATTTAAAATGACGGATCAGAAATGAAGAATAAAAATTACCTAGGCTAAAGTTTAATCTATTTTGGGAAGTTAAACTTAAGAACATAGCTGAACACTCACGCATGCATGCATAAAAATTCAACCATAGGTACAGTTTTTATTGCTATGGTATAAAAATAAAACTTTTTTTTTTTTTTTCAGAAATGACATTTTACCACTGTTAGGTATAGAAACTTAAGTGAAAAAAAAACACGTATTCATTTACCTGATAGATATACAAATGGTGATAAAGGACTTGCCATTACTTTCCCATAAAATACCCAGACTTTATTGTAGGCATTGCAGAAAGCACTCAATCCAAGTATTGAACTGACTTGATGCAGCTTACTCTGAGAACTGTGACACCAGATTTTCATCCCACTATGAGCTGGTACATCTGTAGAGCATGCTACAATGTTTTATAAGAGTCAAATTACATATGTAATCTAACTGGCATTTATCATCTTGGAAATCTTATCGGTGTATTTTGCTATACTAATAAACAGAAAAGTCTTGTTTTAGAAACAAATGTTTTTATTTTGAAATTTAATTTGAAACTTTAACTTCCCTATCAGAAACATCTATTTGATAAAATATGATTTTTATCATAAATTATAAAATGTCCTCTGAATTCCTGTCTTAGGTGTTGATTTGAATTTAAAATGATGGATCAGAGATGAGGAATAAAAATTACCTAGGCTACAGATAAAACTATTTTTGTCAAGTTTTGTCGTCTATGTAGTTACAAAAATATATAAATATGTATTGAAAAAAAGAATTAGAAGAGGACTAAGGCAGAAGGTGGCCATTTTATACCTGTACATGTACCACCATATGAAACCTATGGATGCTTTTGTTGGAAAAACTTCTATGATACACTTGTTTAACGTTTGTTCAGTTAATATGTTCTATAGGTTAAGTCAATATTTGTACAGTTTGAATGTGAAGTTATCTTAACATTTCTAGTCTTCTTAAAGTAATCAGACAGCTGTATCAAAAGCCTAAGTGTATTTGGGTTTTTTGTTGTTTGTTTACTTGCTTTTGTTCCTGCAGCTTATTCAAACCATAAGTGCAGTAGACAAAGATGAACCTCTTGGTGGACAAAAATTTTTCTTCAGTTTAGCTGCTGTTAACCCTAACTTCACTGTTCAGGATAATGAAGGTAAAATTCATGCCTGTTCCAGGGAAGGAGTTTTATCTTTGCTGTCTAGCATACATTCCTGAAATGTATTTGCTTTTGATGTCTATCAATATTTAGAGAAGCTGTTAAGGCTGCTGCTAGCAAGAGTAATAATTTTCCTGAACGTTCAGGTTTAGGACTTCTACATTTTTATCTATGTAAGGGAGGTAAGAATTAGCATGGCAAAAATGTGATAAAACAAATTATAAAGAAAATCAGTAAAAGTGTTGGTTTGGGATGAGTAGCCAGATGAAATGCTTGACTGAAGGAGAAAAAAAGATTTCAAAAATGGTTTCAGTTGACAAGTTCAGATTTTTCACTTTAACCTTCTGTCACATAGTTCTGATTTCCCTGATCTTCGGTTTTGCTTCTTTCTGACCATTAATGAAAACAATGGTTCTGAGCACATAACCATTTTGGTTTTTCTTTTGATCCTTTGTCATTCTTTCTTAACCACAGAAAATTTTCATAAGATTCTGTTGGGGAAGGGGGACTCTGCACCCATTTTGGTCTTCATTATCAGTATGACTAACTGAGAGGGCTCTAGATTACAGGAGAGATAGATGAGGAGGGACATGGTATCAGCCTTCAAATGTATTAAAGGCATAAAGGCAATGGCAATAATGCTTTTTTCCTGATGAAGATTTCAGGAAGTAATAGGCTGCAAACAGCAACAGAAAAAAAAATACAACAGTAAAAAAAAGAATTAAAATCAAATAGTTTGGGTACCTTATAAAATCCTCAGCAGCAGAGGTATTTAAAGATCCATCAGACACATAGTTTTTGATGTTGAGTGAAAACAAATAGTGTACAAATACCTAAAACCAACGAAGGGATGCAATAAAGGAAAAGTTTATGTTTCACATCATGGAGACTGTGAAAAAAATACCTAATATTTTGAAAAAAGATTATATCCTGGTGACTAGGTCCTGAGTGTATAGAGGTATAGACCTTGCTATTTTTTTTCTATCTGCTATTATTTTCTTTGGTTTTGCACATGGGTTATTTTAATTCAGCCTGAAATTGGCTGGCAAGATGGCTAACCACTAAAACTCAAGAGATCCACAGCACGAAAAAAATTTTTCCTTGTAATGGAGACTAAATCTGTATTTTCTCTCTTTTGGACTAAAAAGTTAGCAACTCTAGTGTTGGTGTACAGTCTAGTGTTGTGGTCCTAATAATAGAAGAAATAGCCTCTCGCTGTTACGCATTCTTTCTCTTCCTTTCCTTCCTTCTGGCCACTCAGTGAATAGCTTTTGATGCAGTATACTGCATACGACTAAGATTTGTCTGCTACAAATACAGTTTAGTAAGTTCACTTCTCAAAGCTGTGCAGGAATACCTACCATCTTTCACATTTTCTGAATTCCTAAGACAATTTTTACTCAAAAAAAAATCTACTCCATTAATTCATTGTTCTACAGTATGTTGAAAGTGTTTAGGTGTGGGAAATCTCATACTGAGATTACACATAGCATTCCCATGGATGTTGTCACAGAAGTTCCATAGAAAATAATCTTTCAGAACAGAGTGCTTGTTGAACAGTGTGAAGTGGAATGTTATTTTTTCTCAGCTGGCCACTTCATTTCAGGGCTTCAGCCCTGAACTGGAACTGTGCCACGCACTGCATGCATTAATCTATAAAATATTTTGAGCTTTGAGAAATCCTTTTTGAAATCACACTCTAAGGTGGTGCAGAGGCACAGAGGACCAGTCCAGATGTACATAAAACATTACAAATAGCTTTCTGATCAAATGGGAATGTCTTTAAAAAAGAGAGAGAGATCACTATGATATGAGGAAGTTTCAAAATGCTACCAGTGATGTAGAATATGATGGTTTGCATGTACTATAAATGATACATTTTATATTCATATATTCTACAACAATATATTTTAATCAATCCAGATAACACTGCCAGAATTTTGACAAGAAGGAATGGCTTTAGTCGACATGAAATAAGTACTTATTTTCTACCAGTGGTTATATCAGACAATGACTACCCGATCCAGAGCAGCACTGGCACGCTGACCATCCGAGTGTGTGCCTGCGACAGCCAGGGGAACATGCAGTCCTGCAATGCTGAGGCCTTGCTCCTCCCTGCTGGCCTCAGCACAGGGGCACTGGTTGCCATTCTCCTCTGCATCATTATCCTGCTAGGTAAGAAAAAGAAACAAATCTTTTCCCCCATGAACAAATGTTTTCAGCCTGACTCGGTTTACAAAACTATGCAGGTTGGTAAAATGAATGATCATGGATTTTGCAAGAAGAATTTAACTATGACTTAAAACAAAAAGAAAAAAAAAAAATAGGCAAAACCTGTTTGTCTGAGAATTGGACATTGTAAATAAGAATTCATGTCCCAAACTGTTAAAACTGTCAGTGTGCAATCAGCAGCTCTTTTTTGTTCTTTTGTTAAGTTGTCCAAAAAACAAGACCAGAGAGGAGGAATAGCATAATCAAAAATCACTTTCATGTCTTTAATTTTAATTTTTTTTGACAGAATGTATCCTTTTTTATTTAAATAACTATCTAAAGTCAATATGCAGTATATATTTCACAGAGAATATACCAGTAAATAGTATTTTTACTGTATTAAAGCACTGTCTATCAGTGCTTTAATCAGTGTCTATCAAAGACAATAGGTTTCTGTTCTGTAATTAAAAAAAAAAAAGAATTTTGTAAAATCTCCATTTTACGGTTTTCAGAATATCACTTAATGACCTATAATTCACCTCAAAAGCAGTTTTTAACAGTATACTTTGAGCTTAAAAAAGGGAGAAGAACTTCAGAATAGACCTAGTTATTTTAAAATTCACTAAATTTATGGGAGGAGTATGTAGACAAGCTCATGGTTCTGTAAAGCAAGAGCACACAATGTGTGTGGAAAATAGCATATTTTGATATAGACCTTACTATGCTACTGTAATACAGATAGAGCTGTTTATCCATTTATCAGATAAAAATGAATTTATGAAACATAGCTGAAACAAAGCTCTTGTACCTCGTGGATTTACTACTAAGAAATTGTTAAATGGAAATCTTTACCCATTCTTTGTTTGTCTCTCTAAGTTATAGTGGTGCTGTTTGCTGCTCTGAAGAGGCAACGAAAGAAGGAGCCTTTGATCCTCTCTAAAGAGGACATCAGAGACAACATTGTGAGTTATAATGATGAAGGCGGTGGAGAGGAAGACACCCAAGCCTTTGATATTGGCACACTGAGGAATCCTGCAGCTATTGAAGATAAGAAGCTTCGACGAGACATTATCCCTGAAACATTATTTGTACCACGGAGGACTCCTTCAGCACCAGATAATACAGATGTCCGAGATTTTATTAACCAAAGGCTAAAAGAGCATGATACTGATCCTTCTGCACCACCGTATGACTCACTTGCAACCTATGCCTATGAAGGAAATGATTCAATAGCTGAATCCTTGAGCTCCTTAGAGTCAGGTACTACCGAAGGAGACCAAAACTATGATTACCTCCGAGAATGGGGTCCTCGGTTTAATAAGCTAGCTGAAATGTATGGTGGAGGAGAAAGTGACAAAGACACTTCTTAACCTACAGTAGGCTACATTTTTGTTTCCTTTGAGCGGAAGTAATTTTACAGACACCTTCTGCACTCAACAGTATTTAACATTCAGGAAAATTTTCCTCCCACTCAGCACAATGGTTTCCTTTTAAAATTTGTTTTAAATTTGTCCATTAATGTAATTCATTCTTTCTAGTAGGATGCCACTTGGAATATATACAACATTTTATTTAATCACCTTCCAAGAGCCAAAGCTATGGAAATTCAGTGTTGTCCATTTTAGTAAGTAAAATAAACAGTATCTTACCTTCAGAAATTTGAATAGGATGATAATCCCTTAAGCAACCTCATGTACAAGCCGCTTCTGTTAGGTACACGTCCTATCCTTGCAAGTACAGCTTTTAAGATGGCAAAGAAGAAAAAATCCAATATGTCCTGTTCTGTACATTAAAATTAAAACAAAATATACACGTGGTGTTAATAAGTGTAATATGCAGCTGGTTTAAAAAAAAAAATTGTGCAACTTCATTTCATCAAATTCTATCTGCCAATGTTTTATATTTATATTTTTGTATTTATTTTTAAGAAATAAACCAGTTTTTACAACTATGTTGATGCTTACCTGCTTGTTCTGGCCATGAATTCCAGGCTTGAAGAGAACTTGAAATTTGTCCAATGACAGCACAGCCAATTGCTCGTACTTGTATGCTACAGCATTCTCTGTGCATTTAACACAGTCTGAAGTGCTCTTGCTCACACGGAGAGGATCAAGGTACAGACCTATTTGCTTGCTCAAAATTGGTACTTCCTATAGTTGTCCTGTTTAAGAGAAATTTTGTTATATTTTGAGGTGAACTAATGATATTCTATTCTAGAAAGATGAACTGCTATTTTGTCTCAACTTGAATTACCTTATTCTAAAAACATGCTGGTACAACTAATCCATCCAAACACATAAAATTAGGTTCAAAAAATGAGGTTTTTTGTTCTATAGTTCTCCATTTGGAATCATAATTGCACCATCAGGGGATCTGTAACTGCAATGGATAAAGTGTAAAAAGATGTTTAAACATTTTGAAGCACCATTTTTTTCTGAAGACAAAACATTTGATGACAAACCACTGTGTGTTGTACTGCAACTATCTGAGGGCAACCTAACATCCTTTGAAGCTGTCAGACTGAAGACTGACAAAATGTCGGTAAAACTAGCACACTTCCCATCCAATTTACTGAGTTTTCTGACAGTTTGGAAAAGTCTAGTAAAAAGAAATCTGAGCAACTAGCTGATTGTAACAGAAATCATACTTTAGCTATCACAAAACAAAGTAGCCATCCCAAGACATTTGAAGATTTCTCTTTTTTCTTTCAATCTTTAGATTACACAAATCTTTTTAGTAAACAAGCACTGAGATTTTGAAATATTGCTGAGATGAAATAATTTCAGAGTAAAAGCAGGGTGTCATAGGGTCTCTATTTATTCATTTATTGTGGAAGAAACACATCTGAAGGATAATCCCTCCTCTGTCTCTCTTAATTTCTTACTGGCATAAAATCAACAGATATTGAAAATACATTAGTCCTTCGAAAAGTGCAATGTCGCATTCTTATTTGATCAGGTATTTCTTCTCCTTAATAGAGTGATTAAACCCAATAAAATTGAAAGCTGAATACAGTGCCATTATGCAAGCTATTTTGGTGCAATGGAGACCAAATTTTTATTGACTTGACATCAAGTTAACCTATTTGATCTATTAAGAAACTGTGAAGATTATGGATTTTTCTTCATTTCAGTCAATAATAAATTCATTAACTAAGGAATTTTTATTTTCCTTAATAGAAAATAATTCTGAGAATATTAAGAAACATCTTAAATAATCAGCATTACAAAGCTTTGTAGAAGTCTTACAGGCCATACAAACAGTTGATCTTCTTTATGATTATCTAGTGGAAGGGACCTAATTTTTTTCTTCCTTCCTAATCTCCATTTGTCCTTCAACAGCATGTAATAGGAAGAAGCAAACAAACAAAATTCATCCATTAAATACATAAATAGCCAAAAGGTATTCTTCCAATACTGTTTTCTGTCTACAGCACCATAGAGACCAGTGACATCCTATATATAACTGAGAATGTATTAGGACAGAAGATAAAATAGGTTGTAATACAGCTGGGTTTTACCTCTTTGTTAAAACAAAAGATTTTTGTTAAACAGGGACATCCAACACTTTTACATATAACTCAGTAAGAATCTTGGTTTTATTTCCAGAAAGAAAAAACAAATACACACGGCTCCCTCATTCCTTAAACATATCAGCAAATGTCAAATAAGACTCTGTTACTTTGATTTGCATTACAGTACTTATTTCTGAATAATAACTGTGTGGAAATATTTGACTGTCACTATGTTTAAGGAAGTTATTTTATAACTGTTCAGCAGAATCTGAACCTCATGCTTAAAATTTAATCCTATATGCATTATTAAATAAAATAGCAGTATACATTGTGGAAGTATATAACAATATATAAACATACTGCTAAAGTTATCATACAAATAGTAAAAATGAAAATTTGTTTTACCCCATGCCATATCCTTGGAGTTTTATTTCCTAGTATATTTTAGGAAAAGGAAAAAAAAAAATCTGTGTCAGCGCTATACAAGTTACTGTGAAAATCACATTTCACTGTACAAATATATACCATTTTACTGTACAAATACCTCAGCCTAGAGAATGTGGGCATAGGAACATGCAATTATTTGTGCAGACAAATAATAAAAAAGCATTCAGGGCACCATAATTCATCATCATAACTAATTTATTTTAGGAACTGGATCATTTAAACAATTGAGTCCAGTCCTTAATATTACACACAGTCACAGAATAGTCCGCAAACAATGTTCTTCATGGTCTGACATGCACAGATGAGTCATAACAGTTTAGTCAAATGTAAGGCCATATAGTAAAAGATAAAAGTCATGAGTACCAGATGTCATGGAAAGGAGGAAGAAAGGAATCAAGGGCACTGTCCCAATGTCTTTCTTACACTCTTACAATACTGATGAATTGGAAAGTGAAACTCCCAGACAATTTGAAACAGAGAAAATGTAAAATAGGATACCTGCTTCCCAAGTAGTACCTGCTAAGCCTAGTCACATGAAATTATATGAAACTTAACAGAATGTGACAACACATAGTAAACAAGACCTTGGTATTGTTCAGTCTCAATTAATTTTCTATATGTTCTTATGACAACAAATGCCACAATATCACACAAAACAAAGAGAAAATACATTAATGTTGCATTTCAGGTGGAACCTACAAATGACTTACAAGATAGACCTTACGAATGTTTAAAAATTCAGAAACATATTCAAACTATTGCAGCCACTGCACCCCCAGGAGATAGTGAATTCTTAGTCTGTCGAAAAAAAAATATTTTTCTTTTTTTAAAATGAATTTTGAGAAAAGAGGTGTCTACAAGATCTTATGTTAACAACAACAACAGAAATAGTAGTATTTAATAGGGCCTTCAGGAAAAAGATTGATGGTAAGAACTGTCTAAGCAGACTAAAAAAAAAAAAAACAAAAACAAAACAGAATAAAACAAGCACCTAAATCAACTAAATCGTCACATTGCACATTATCAGGTCAATACCTACCAGCTGCCAGCCCTGTATATGCAGATGTTTTTCCCTCATTCACTGTTACAAGGTGTCACATTTCCACCATTTGTCCTTCAGTCACATGTAATACTATTCCCAGGCCGAACTATTTATCAATTATACCACTGTCTGTCAAAAGTCTACCCTTCATTCCTCTCATTCCTCATCCAGTGTGACTATTGCCCTTGAATCAGATGTTCCTATAATGTTTTTTTAAATTCTTTTTATGCTACTTATCACACAAAGTTGGAAGAAAAAGAACCAAATTTGCTACATTATTGTCCTTCAAACCTCTTCTTACAATTAGCTCCTACTGGAGTAACTACAAAAATACCTGTTAAGGACTACAGAGCTGCTCACTATGCTAGTTGCAAATGATTGAGACAATTAAATCCAATCATTGTTCCAGGTTGTCTAGGACTAGTTTGCCTTTATTCTAACAGAAATTGAATTTTTCACAGTGTTCCTCTAGGTTTATCCAACATTTGGGAAAAAGTAATCAAAACTAACTAAAACCAAAACAAAACCTCTTTTGGCCCATCACTAACTACTCAAAAGAAAAATCAATGAATTTTTTAGGAAGCTAGTTAGTAACATATTGAAGCCACTGAGGCGAAGGGCTCTGG